AAAATTTCACTGCAAAAGATCAAAGGCTTCTCGAGATAACGCACGGATAGAAATGTGTTACAGACAGACAGAAATACAGTTAGACGGACGGACGGACAGACAGGCAGACCGAAATTAATATTCCCCACTTTCAGTGAAAGCGGGGGACAAAAGAGCGCTGGCACGAAAGAGAAACTCACTGCTTAATCGCTACAAGTGCCAAGTACAAGTCTAAATATTCAGCCTTTCACGGGCAGGTTGTGAAGGGACGTAAAACAAACGATCAAATAAATATTGTATTCATTTAAAATCTACTATTTGTATGTGTTAGTTTTTTCTGTAATCATTAGTACGAAAACTACGTAAATTCCTCCATCAACTTGCTATGTATTAAACTGTAGATTATTGGTATCGTACAGAGAGGTATTGAATGGTAAATGTTCACGCGAAGCCAAGGATCACAGTCTTTTAAGCCTAAAAACAATAAATGTATCTCGAAAAGAAAAAAAAGTCCATTAGATAGTTCTCGTTATAGTAATGAGTAAAAATGACTTATCTACAAACAATTATTGGGATCATATTAAAGTATCAACAAAAATTGAGTTTATGAGTTTAAAATCTACTTTTACTTTAACTTATCCACTGACTTAAATGCAAATTTAGTGTATGAGTTAGTGCATTTTTAAGGGTCTAAACAAGTGTCTTGTGTGCCGCACGCTGTTGCCAACCAAGCCACTACGCTGAACAAAACGTTTACATATCGTTTTTCAAATGATTCTTTATTTCATTTCATTGATTTCGTATTTGAAAGGTTCCGAAGTCTACTGCATGAAAAACTTACATAACCCAAGTTTTAAAGAGTACCCCAAGAATATAATACGCGGTCAATTTTCAATACACTTTTAGAACAATGTCAAATTCTTATATTACATTAATATATTCTATGGTCGTTTCAAAAACTTTGCAAATGCAACCTTCCGTAGTATGCCTCGAATATAAACTGACGTTTTTCACAGATATGACTATGGATTTTTCTGTCTACCTGATCAAGACGAAGGGCTTACAGTAAGTGTGACATGTCGATAGGGAATTGACCCCACATCTGGTGTTTCCAGAAACTTCACGCAATATTCTCAATTTAAATAGTTTTACTGGATTATGAAACTGATAACTGAGATATGAGATGATCCTTGCATGTATAAGTGGAAGAAATCTTCATATTTCATGCATATCCCCGGCTTAAATTTAATACTAAAACTGGTGTACATGTAGTTTCGGGAAAAATCTCCTAGGCCTGTAACAAACAATATCAACACAACAAATATGACTATCTACAATTAAAAGAAAACATTAGATACATTTTTCTGAAATTCTTTTGTACACACACAATCTAACTCTTGAGACGTAGGGGTAGTAGATGTATTTTGAAAAAAAAATATTTTGAAGATTACAATCTCTCTTGAAAACAACTTGTACTGTACATGTATAAATTGACAGATACTACACTCTAAAACCTTACACTTTGTAGTTGTTTAATTGAATAAAAAATTATCAGTCATAGAAATTGATATATTTGACACAAAGTCTGATGGTCACGCAAAAGTCTGATGGTCTCGCCAAAGTCCGATGGTCTGACATATCCCATGGTGCAGGGTAAAAACAATACAATAGTCTGACGTCAATTCAATGGCCCTTGTCTTGCTTTTAAAATCCAACAAATTATGGTAAGTTCTCTTACATTATTCGACTAATTTGAATTAGTCTCGCACGCCACTCGACTGACGAAAATAAGTCCTTCAACACTTTTCTAAGGGTTAGTCTCGCACCTACGTGAGAGAACAGGTTTGGTCCTTGTACACTTCTCAACCTGTTCGGATTAGCCTCTCACCCAATAGAGAGTTCAGGGCTTATGCATGAATTTAAGAGATATACACTTGTTTATCTTTATTTAAAAACCATTGGATTTCGGCGAGGCAGCAACATATGTAGTGCAAAGACCATCAGACTTTCGCGTCACACAAATAGAGATTCGCAACTGAACCTGAACCATCGAATTTTGGCGTGTCAAATTATCGAAGTTTGGCGCAGACCATCAGGCTTTGGAGTGACCATTGGGCTTTGGAGTCCCATTGCACTTTCGGGTCTTATGAATGAAGTTGTTTTTTTATATACAAAAGTTGCATAAAACCCATTACTCCAATATAGATTTTTGTCATGATTAAGTAAAGTAATAGGCGCATTCTACACACCAAAGTGTGATATTTTGGCAACTAAAAAAGAGAAAAACGTCATCAAAGTCTTTTCCATTGATTCCAATGCTAGATTTTTACTACCAGCAGTTTCACAACATGTTGACTCTCCGCAGCATTTTGGAATGCAGTTATTTCTTTCCCATGAACATTTTTCTGAAACAGTCTGACAACAGTCTTCTGGACAATTATGTACAGTCTCCCCAGAATCGCATACTTTATTAAAGCAAGTGTCTGGCATAGTGTCGACAGATCGTTTTTTATTTTGACTGTATTGTTTTTTGCATTTTTTCCTGAAACACATTGTGAATATCCAGCAGGTACCTGGAATTGAGTTATACCAATGTTTGCACGTTTTACTCACACTCTCCTGTCCAGAACATCCTCCGCAGCTAAATGTTTCCTGGTGTTTTCCATCTCCTTTGGAATTATCAATTCCACATTTGTTACAGTAAGCCGTGGAGGATGCACTATGATATGTTCTTCCATCGCAAGAGGTATCCCAAGTATTGCAATTATTGCAACAAATATAGAAATGAACACTTGAAATTCCACCCCAGTTGAAATAATTGCATTTTCCTATTCGTGGTTGATCCCCAGTTCTCCTCTTATCTCGATCTAGAGCAAATTCGGACACTACAGAGGGAATGAGTAAAGCCAACAGAAAAGTAAAGAACATCATTCTTTGAATGACGTGTATGGTATGCGCCTTTAATTTTCTTGTCTTTCTTAACTGTAGGAAGACGGTAATTTGTCATTCAACGAGTACAAACGGGTTTAAAGTTCTATACGTAGCTAAGCGCTTCGTAGAAACGCGAGATAGATACTATAGATTTAAATACCAACTTTTAAAGCATTCGTCTGCAATAATTGTCATGTGCAAGTCTAAACATACAGTTCAGGCACTTGAACGTAAAGTAAACCTAGACTGATATTCAAAGAACTCTAATGGGTAGCGCATTTGGCTATGCCTATCATCACTGAATCTGAGGGGATATTGGAAAATGGACTCTTCCAATAGGCAGATCACCCCTTTGATAGGTAGAATAAGCCAAGTGTATAAAAGGAGACGCTAGCAGATGCTAGGCCTTTTATGACAGAATCAGTTGTTGTGAACACACAGAAGGAAGCTGAAGACGATAGGTAATAAAGACACTCTTTAAGAAATAAAGAATAAAAAAAAGAAATAAAGAGCAAAGGTAAGAAGTAAGACACTAGTGGAAAGGGAGCAGTCTAGAGGAATTGTGGTGAGGTACCGGGGCGAAGTAATTCTGAATAAGGGTGAAAGAACCTGGTACTTCACAGAACAATAGGAACTCTGGCTGTTCCAGGAACACAGTGCAGGTTACCTTGCTCTGGAACCACGGCCTATCATTTTGAATTATTTGTACATAGATCCAATCAATTACAACTCAGACAGAGTAAGAGGAAAAATATATATAAAGAAACCTTGTTCCTTGTAGAACCCAGTAGGTTTACACGTTACATTTTGGTGGCAGCCGGTCAAGGGATAGGGTACATAATTCAATTTGATTTTCATAAGATTAATCATACAGGGTGTTTTATAATATATGTTACATTTTTAAATTTAATTATTTTTCTTACCTATCATAATTCTATCACAAACTATATATCATTTAAAACATCAAATTGTGCATTTTTATTCCGTATGAAAAAGTCAAGGAAATCACGGTATCACAATGATTAATTGTGACATAAACGCCGATGTCATAATTTGAATATTTTCGAACTGAACTTAACTTATCAACATATTGTTGAATTGTAAAGCTGTTTTTTTTTCAATACATGTTGACAAATGTCATTCAGAAGTTGATGAAGGAAATATTCCAAAAGAATGGAAGCTTTTTATGATGCTTCTAAGAAGGCTAGTAACAAGGTTAAAGGACAGGGACACAGGCAATATGCGATAAATGACACGGTACTCCAGAAAGCCTGAGGACTTCAATAACCGAAGATTTAATTCGTAAAGTGGAGACTTAGATAGTTTAGCAAACTCCTGAGAAAAAGTGTCAGATAGATGTTTTCAGAAATTGATGCTGGTAATATCAGCATTTCCAGCATATATTGAACTTTGAAATAATATATGAAGCTATCAGCGTACAAATTTTCAATAATGCATCCCAAGAAAAGAGTTTGATCTCTGCATATCTTTGGGCCTTTTTCTGTATGGGTTCTGTATATCTGTAGAAAATTCTTGTTCTTATTGTAATTGTTACTTGTTTGTGGTAGGCTGGTAAGTGAAAGACTAAGTACCGTGAAGGTATGAAGGTACCACGTACACATTAGGACCTGTGTCACTGGACCTATTTAGTGAAAAAAAAGAACTTTGTTCAAGGGCACTGTGTCCTGTGTACTTGGTTACTGTGTATCAGGTGCCGTGTTTTGTTTAATAACTCAGGGTAATGGGTACCTGTGTAAAGTGTACAGAACTGTGTTCTGTGTGAAGTGTCAGTGAATTCACCAGATGTTCCCTGAATTATCAAGATGAATGAACCCTTATTGGAGAGGAAAATTTTAGCAGATCTCGAAGAGGTACATGTAGATGAAAAGAGACAAAAACTTTAGAGACGTTAAGATCTACACCGTCCAATCACAGACCTAAGGAAACTCCATTATCGGCGGTTTAGACCGTTCAAGACTCGGGTGTGGACATGAAGCAAAAGACACCTAGACGATACAGTAGATGAGATGTGTGCAAAATATTTACGTCCTTCTAACAAAACGAGTAGTACTGACACCTACAATCGTAACATGGAAACTACAGAGAATGGGAAACTCCAAAATATGAACCCGTTAATCAAGAAGAACGAGGTGCTCGCCCAAAGGATGGTAGTCATGACCTGCATAAAAAAACTTGGAGCAAGGAGTCTCTTGATAAAGATTATCGATACTACCAAAGATTTTCAACACCTAGGCCATATTTTGAATTACCAGAAACCAGGACTACGACTACACCAACAAGTGTTACATGGAGTTTCACAAAAGACAGTAACCCACTGACTAGTGTACACTTAACTTTGGGATCCGAGGTTACAGAAGTAAACATAAGATCAACACAGAGAACGCAATACCTACAAAACAACCTCCTCTTAGATTGCCTCACCCTGCTGCTGAATTCGTCGACAAAGAGGTAGAAACATGATGGAAAAGGGAATAGTAGAGCCTTCATCTTGCCCTTGGGCTGCAGGTGTCGTGCTCGTTGAAAAGAAGGACGGAACAAAAAGGTTTTGTGTAGATTTTAGGTCCCTAAACAGCAAAACGGTAAAAGATGCATATCCTTTGCCAAGGATTGACGACTCGCTAGACCGTTTGCGGGGGGTAACTTGGTTCTGCACCCTTGATCTTCACTCTGGCTATTGGCAAGTGGAGATGGAAGAAAGTGACAAGCCAAAGACAGCATTTGCAATTCGCAACGGACTATATCAATTTACTGTTATGCCATTTGGCCTCTGTAACAGTCCGGCAACATTCGAGAGGCTCATGGAAACAGTACTAGCTGGTCTCAATTACAAGATATCCTAGGTAAACATCGATGATATAATTGTATTTGGGCACACATTTGAGGAAACCCTCGATAATTTAGAACAGGTATTTGTCAAATTGAATGATGCAGGGTTGAAGCTAAAGGGAAAGAAATGCTCTTTATTCAAGAAAGAAGTTTTCTCCCTGGGATATAAGCTGTCGGGAAAGGGAGTACAGACAGACCCACAGAAGATTTCTGTCGTATCCAAGTGGCCAGTTCACTGAATGCTAGTGAAGTAAGATCCTTTACAGGCTTATGTAGTTACTACAGAAGGTTTATAAAAGGATTTTCTTCCATTGCCAAGCCTCCGTTTAAGTTGACAGAGAAAGGAAGAGAGTATAAGTGGACCACTGAATGCCAAACTGTATTTGAAACATTGAAGCATTGCTTGTCTACAGCACCCATATTATGTCACCCTGACTTTTCATTACCATTCGTTCTAGACACGGACGCCAGTCAGTACGGATTAGGAGCTGTTTTGTCACAAGAAATAGATGGACACTGAGGGTAATAGCTTATGCCAGTAGAACGCTAACTAAGACCGAGCGGCGGTACTGTGTCGCACGCAAAGAACTTTTAGCAGTGGTTTTGCCTCTAAACATTTTCGACACTACTTGTATGGACACAAGGGGATTGTTCGAACAGATCATAGTGCGCAGGACTGTTAAGGCGTACTACGAAGAAATCAAAGGAATATAAACGTGCATAAATACATACATTTTAAAACTGAATTTATTTGTGTAAAGCTACTATATTAAAACTTGACTTTTAATTTTAATTGAAATAACATTGTATACCCAGCTCTGAACGGAATTTGGTTTGGTCACGTTATTTGACAGTCACGTGATAAATGCATGTAATAATGTACTGTGTGTAGGTCATAAACAAATTTCAATATCGCAAGGGCATACCTTAGTTAGAATTAAAAATTTCAGTAATAAATGGTATCTATATAACTTGTAGTATATGAAAAGTGCTGCTGCTTAAATAGAATTGGCATTTAATTAGTTTAAATTTCAAGTAATTTGGCTCTAGTCGAAATATATGTGACCTTTACCATGTATCTTATTTATTTATTTATTTAGTAATGCTCTCGATTTCATGAAAGCAGCAGCACTTTTCAAGTTAAGGAATATTTCCGTCATGCATATTTAAAAAATGGTCAAGATCTATTAAGTTTATGCCCTTGCGAAAATGCGATTTAATGAGGAACCTCGGCGTGAAACATGCACACCCTGTACACAAAAACACGGTAGAATTAATTCAGTACATTCTCTCAATAGTTTTTAAATAATGGCACTAAACAAAGGTTTCAGCTTTGTATTAATGGTCTACCTAAGATTTGCAAATAATATTCTGTTTAATAATGAAATGCGTTTTTCACTTCGGAAAAATTACTTGATCCGCCTCTCACTGCACATAAAATGCGTCAAATTTTACCATGATGACGTCAAGCGACAAGTGCATTGCAATCAGTGACTTGTTTATATCTTGCTGTGTGGGACTTAACTAGCAACAAAAATGAATGCAGTGGTAAGTTTTGATGTAGTTCGTCACTCTTTTGCAGTTTAAAACCGCAAGTTATTTTTTTTTTCTGTTGTTGTGAGGAATTGCTATATTTGTGTGATGTCACAGTAGACATTTCCCGTATAAATTAGTCCCCGCCCCCTTCATGCAGCCTTAACAGAGCTGCGTGCCCTAAAATGGTTACTTAACTTCAAAGATCCTGAAGGCCAGGTAGGTAGATGGATAGAACTCCTTAATACATATGACATGGAAATAAAACACCGGCCTGGTGCTAAGCCCGGAAACGCAGACAGTCTTAGTCGGTTTCCCTGCCGTCCGTGTGGATTTACAGACTCAAGAGGAACTTACTACTCCAAGTGTAGAGTGTGAAGTTGTTGCAATGATTGATTCTGTTTCCAATGATTTGAATAGTCTTCAGGACAATGACGAGAACTTATCACAGATCAAAGCCTGGGTAAACCGTAGTAAACGTCCAGAATATTCTGATATAAAGCATAGAAGTAAGGTTATTAAATCCCTTTAGTCTCAGTGGAGTAACCTTGAAATTAGGGATGGTGTTCTTTGTAGAAAATGGATTACTGATAAAAAGATGTATCACAAAGTAATTGTTCCTTTATCAGAAAGGAGCGAGATTTTAGAGCTTTGCCATGATGCCAGAACCTCAGGACATCTTCGAGTCCATAAGACACTAGAAAGAGTAAGAGACCGATTCTATTGGACAGGATTGCAAAGTGACGTAAGGAGTTATGTTACAGGTTGTCCCCAGTGCAAAAAGAGAAAGAATCTCTCAGCAGGAAAATCTTACATGCAAGTTGATCAAACAGATTCTCCCTTAGAGCGCATAGCAACAGATATAATGGGACCAATGCCAGAAACCAACAGAACCAACAAATATTTACTTGTCATTGCAGACTACTTCACAAAGTGGACCGAGGCATATCCAATGAAGAACATGGAAGGCCAGACAGTAGCCGAAGTACTAGTGGGGCAGTTCTTTACCAGATTTGGTGTGCCAGAAGTCATACATAGCGACCAAGGAAGGCAATATGAAAGCAGAATGTTTAAAGATATTTGTAGCTTACTGGGTATACGGAAAACAAGGACAACCGCCTTTCATCCCAAGTCGGACGGGATGGTTGAGAGATTTAATAAAACTCTAGCTACAATGTTATCTGCCTATGTCTTGGATCATCAAACCGACTGGGACAAACACTTGCCTTATGTACTTATGGCATATTGTTCAGCTATTCACGAGAGTACAGGGTATACACCCAACATGCTAATGTTGGGAAGGGAAATCTCAACTCCCTTGTACATTATGTATGGATTACCAGGAGAAAAAGAACACACGAGTGTTCATGAATATGTGTGGAAGTTACATAGCACTTGACAAATAACTAATCAAGCTATGTTAAGACAGAAAAAATATCATGATAGGAATGTTGCTTCTAAACACTTTGAAATTGGTAACAAAGTGTTGGTATTTATCCCTCAAAGAGCTGTAGGAAAGTCTCCAAAGCTTATGAGCTTTTTGTATTACCCTTATGTAATCATAGAGAAACACACAGATCTTACATACAAAGTTAAGCGAGAGGGTGAAAAGAAAACTATGGTTGTGCATATAGATAGACTGAGACCGTATAAGTCCCAGAACCTCAGTCTCGAGACAGAAAGTGAGGATGAGTGCCTACCCATGGGTGGGGACGAAAATAAAGATATAGGAGATATTGGTAGTGAAAAGAGGAATGATGTACACTACGACTATCTACCGAATACAGATTTGAATGAAATAGAAGTCGAGTATACAAGTCGAAGACAGCGATAAAATCCAAATTGGCACTCAGATTATCAATTTGACTATAATTTGTAAAACAATGATTCGTTATATGTTTTCAGATCCTTGACCACAAAATGCCTTTGACAAAAGTAACTCCGAGGAAACCAGGGTTCCTCTGTTCCATATGTCTTCATCGACTTCCATCGCATGAAGAGTGGAGAGAACATCTCATCATATGCGCATCTGAGGACATGAAGAAAAGGCGATACGATTGCAGCCTTTGTGATAAAGCCTTCGCAAAACCGTCACTTGTCGTCCGACACTAGAAGAGAGTGCACACGACTATACCTACAGCAAACAAATCTGAGACTGTAAGCAGCTGTGTGACTACCATTAATGCAAAAACGGACGATGACCAGGGATGGCAGGAGGATCCAGGGGAATTCATCTTTGAGTCTGAACTTGAATATGGCAGAACCATTTGAAAAGCACCAGCACCTTGTCTTCCTGGGGTAAAGAGAAAAATAGTGGAAGAGAGTCCAGCCCACATCTCCAGAAAACAGTATGGATAAAGACAACTCTGGAGATTCAAGTGCAGCGTCGCTACCATTTCATTGTCCCTGCTGCAAGACTCTGACTTCTAGAAGTGACGTGGGTATACAGACTGATGAAGGCACTCACAAGAAAACAGTAAGGGTCATTAGAAGATACCAGAAAGATGGAGAGAGCATTGAGAAGTTTGAGGAAGAAGTGTGGAGCACATGAGAACTATGCGAGAAAAATGACAAGAAGACAATTAAACACTGTAGTGTTTAATACAGTGTTTGTGTACATATTCCTGTATACAAGAAATATTTTTAAGTTAATGTAAGGAAAGATATTCCCATTCTTAAAACAATGTATCCATGTATATAAGTAACTATGAATGTTTGTCTACTTAAAAGAAAAGTTTTTAAAAAAAGTTTTAAGTATGTTATTCAACTGACATGCGAGACGCATGTTCATGGAGGCATGGGTAGTGTAATGGGTAGCGCATTTGGCTATACTCCTATCATCACTGAATCTGAGGGGATATTGGAAAATGGACTTTTCCAATAGGCAGATCACCCCTTTGATAGGTAGAATAAGCCAAGTGTATAAAAGGAGACGCTAGCAGATGCTAGGCCTTTTATGACAGAATCAGTTGTTGTGAACACACAGAAGAAAGCTGAAGACGATAGGTGATAAAACCACTCTTTAAGAAATAAAGAATAAAAAAAAGAAATAAAGAGCAAAGGTTAGAAGTAAGACACTAGTGGAAAGGGAGCAGTCTAGAGGAATTGTGGTGAGGTACGGGGGCGAAGTAATTCTGAATAAGGGTGAAAGAACTTGGTACTTCACAGAACAATAGGAACTCTGGCTGTTCCAGGAACACAGTGCAGGTTACCTTGCTCTGCAACCACGGCCTACCATTTTGAATTATTTGTACATAAATCCAATCAATTACAGTCGCCCGCGTGGCGCAGTGGTTAGAGCGTCTGATCTAGAGTCGCGAAGTAAGGAGTTGATCATTACGTCGCGGGTTCGAATCCCACTCCGGGACGTGGAGACCGGTCCTTCGGATGAGACCGTATAAACCGAGGTCCCGTGTCGCAGTAGGTGCTGGCACGAAAAAGACCCCTCACTGCTCAATGGCCGTAAGTGCCGAGTATAGGACAAAATTTGCAGCTCTCCACCGGCAAGTGGTAGCGTCTCCATATGAGTGAAAAATTCTCGAGAGGGACGTTAAACAACAAACAAACAAAAAATCAATTACACAATTACAACTTAGACAGAATAAGAGGAAAAATATATATAAAGAAACCTTGTCCCTTGTAGAACCCAGTAGGTTTACACGTTACAGAACTTTGAAACCTTCTTTAAAAAATGTTAAGGTGGGAAGGGATAGTTTCGTACTAAAGACCCGGTCAATTTTCTTTTTAAAAAGCTGAGATATACACTGTTTAATGTGATATTTTATGATTAATTGATTGATTGATTTTATGTTGTTTTACGTTCCTTTCGAGAATTTTTCACTCATATAGGGTTGTCACTATATACCGGTGAAAGGCTTCAAATTTAGACCTTTATTTCGGCACTCAGGACCCTTGAGTAGTGAAGGATCTTTATCGTGCCAACGCTTGCCGTGACACAGGGCCTCGTTTTTTTCAGGACTTATCCGAAAGACCCAAACTTTCACTTCAAAGTGCCGGGCCCTTGAAGAAGGAACAGTTGTTATCTATTGTTTATTGACTTATGTCAGTCGCAGACAGGGTTTGAACCAACAATCTTCCGATCCGAGCTATACGGTATTTAATGTAGAAAAACTTAATGGAATAATTATGGGACACATGTGCAGTGTAGCAGAATGCTTGTTGAGAGAAATGATCTGCAACATAATTTTTGGCATATACAGAGCTGTAAATGCGAGACTAATTCATGCTGTCAGTTGGGGATATTCGGCTGGGAAGCAGTAGGGCTTAGATGAAGGCCTGTACCTCAGAGGGAAGGTGAATCAGCTCAGATCAATTGGTGAATTTTCTTCAGGGCATACATTGATCTACAGAACGCTGGGTGTTTCCCCCCTCGTTCGGGACTGGGATAGACTCATTTGTCTGGGATTGGCAGTATGGGTGTAGATGAGACCTAAATCGTTGGAAAAAAAGCAAAAATATGAGGAGGCCCCTAGTGCATTTTCGGTACACGTGCACTCAAATATATAGATTAAATGCTATTTGTTGACATATTTTTTGAGCTATAGACATATAAAGGGTACCCACGTTTTTTATTGACTTCATGTATATGCCTATCCCCTTAGCACATGTTTGGCATTTAAAAAACTGTCCCTTGGCACCTAAAACATGAATGTCTGTTTTCTCTTTAATGGCAATCGGTTTTCTCAAATTTGATGTATATGGTTTCAAAAATGTGACAGTGACATCTTTCTGTGGTAAAAAAAATTACTTGGTAAACATTATTTTACATTTTATTGAGTCATTTATTGAAAAATTACAGTAAGATTATTTTTTTCCTAATTCAAGGAATATAGAGTCTTTGATTCACATGGTTATGAACATTTATTTTATGAAGAAAGGGTTTCACATTACGAAAGCCGGATAGGCTCATTTTTGACAAGACAAAAAAAATATTTAACTCGTTATAACGAGATAATTATCTCGTAATAACGAGTTAGTATCTCGTTATAACGAGTTAGTATCTCGTTATAACGAGATAATTATCCCGTTATAACGAGTTAGTTATCTCGTTATAACGAGTTAGTATCTCGTTATAACGAGTTAATTATCTCGTTATAACGAGTTAGTATCTCGTTATAACGAGTTAATTATCTCGTTATAACGAGTTAGTATCTCGATATAACGAGTTAGTTATCTCGTTATAACGAGGAACTTATCTCGTTATAACGAGTTAGTTATCTCGTTATAACGAGTTAGTTATCTCGTTATAACGAGTTAGTTATCTCGTTATAACGAGTTAGTTATCTCGTTATAACGAGATAATTATCTCGTTATAACGAGATAATTATCTCGTTATAACGAGATAATTATCTCGTTATAACGAGATAAAAATTGATCTAGAATTGATATATCTAAGTTAAGAATAGACCATTATTTATAGGAAATATACAGAAGCAAGTCGATCAAATTTGTTTGAAGTGTGTGTGATAAAGATTTTATGGAACAGCATACTAGTTTTTTTGTGTTATGCCTTTGATTAGTATTGTTTATTGGAAAAACCGAAGACAAATATACGGAAACTTGTGACCGCCTCATGTTGTTGTGTTATACCTTAAAATTGCAAAATAGAATTAGTGTCATCTTCAAATGGAATGTATAAAACATCAAAATTTTGTCAACTTGTACAAGGAGATCAGAAAAAAATGATATACTCTGGCTGATTTAACTGCCCTGTTCAAGCTTTCTTGAATTTGTTAAAATTATACATGTAATAATGTTTGCGTAATATTTGTCGCAATAAAAATGCATAGAAATAATCCCATTATTTTAAATATTCCGAATAAATCATGTGGATATGAAACCATTTGTTAGGCTTTAACGATCATATTTTGATAATTCCTTGCCTGTTAACAAGGAATACCAGTTCAATTTTATCGTCTTAAAGTGGCAAGATCAAAATTCAATGTCTGACAAAAAACTAAATTCACGTTGTTTTTATCATCAATCCCTCCTTCCCCTCAATAATAAATATGATGAATATCAAGAACTAACACTGTACTTATCACTTAATAATTTATATATTTCTTCTGTTTATTGAAAGAAAGAAACATTTTAATTTACCAATTTGGCATGGAATCTTAAATTACAATATGTAATTTTTGCATTATTATCAATGTGGTAGAACTAAAAAAAACTTTTGGAGCTCTTTATTTTATGGAAGCCACAATAAAAGGTGAAGGTCAGCATTAGTAAAAACAGTTGACATGTGATCCTTTTTTGGTATAGAATGAAAGTTTAATATCTAAAGTTTACAAAAAGATAAGCATTACTTAAGGTGTATTTCAAGCATAAATTTTGCCAAGAAATGTGTATTGTATGTTGAGACAGGATTTTTGATAT